TAAAACCTTTTTCTATGCGCTATTTTTGTTAACGTTTTATACATCTTAATTTCTCACTTAATGATGGCACCACCACAACAAGGGGGAAGCCGTTCTGAAAGTGTTTCTGTTTTAAATCGCCGCCGTGTTTTCCGTTGTAAGGAGATTCTACCGGTGTCTGTCTCCCATGTAAATATTGTAAATGTGTTCTGTGTGGGTCGTGGTTCAGGCGTTCGGATCTGATCTCAGCCTTTCTGATGGCGCCGTGGCCATAATCTCGGGAGCCCAGGCACTGAAAATATATTGTTTTATTTGCTTTAACTTCCGTTTGGTTTCTGCCTTTAAATATGCTTCTCATTTGAGTGATTTGCGGATAAGATGGGATGAGTTTTGTTAGTTTCTCTGTTCGCGGTAGTGCGTTAATTAAAACGTGCCCCTGCTTCATTATATAAGACTGACAGCACATCAACTCTCAGAGGAAACCAAGACGAATGGTGAAACTGTAGCTCGTAAAACCAAACTCTCTCTTCAGAGAGGTAATGAAATATAAAAAGATGTCAAACACGTGTGACCCTGCAGCACAAAAGCAGTGTTAAGTCGCTGGGGGATATTTGTAGCAATAGCCAACAATACATTGTATGTGTCACAATTATACATTTCTCTTTTATGCCAAAAATCATTAGGATATTAAGTAAAGATCATGTTCCATGAAGATATTTAGTAAATTTCCTACCGTAAATATATCAAAACTTAATTTCCTCGTCCCCTCGATAGTAACCGAGCCAGGAGTCGTCTGTGCTGTGAACTCCTCTAGAAAGTGCAGCTTTGCTGAGAAACAGATGCATGCTGATCTGCAGCGAGTGCCAGAGCATGACCGTCATCGTGTGGGTGCGCTTCTGTGGCTGAAGACAGATCTGACTAACACAAACCACACAGCAGATCATTACCACAGACCTGGTAGCTGCTGCTCTCGTAAAGCCACAGTATATCCTCAAAATCTGCTGATCAGGACAAACTGAACACACAGGATACAGTGGCACTGCTCAGACGAGCACACTCCTGTTTCTGCAGAATGCACAGCATGCAAACTGTCCTGCTGCACTTGCCCAAATATGCAGCACACTGTATCCCACAATGCAATGTGCTTGACATGACATGTCTAGAAAGCCCTATCAGTCCTGCTCTGAATGCAGCGTTATTTTACTATCATTCAGATACTAACTTAGAATTTTCAAATTTTTATATTTATCCTTTTTATTTTGCATTTTAATTAATAATAATAATAATAATAATGCTAAAATAATTTTAATTAGTGTCATTATTTTATTCATTTTGTGTTTTTATATATGTCTATATAGTTGTTATTATTACATTACAAAATATATTACATTTAAAATAAGTATAAGGTGTTTTATTATTTCACTTGTTTATTAAAATTGGTTTTAATTCATTTTCCGTTTTAGTTAATTATAATAACCCTGGTCTATACTTAATTATTACCAGGTATATTATACTTAACTAAAACAAAAAAAAAAGTATATTTTCATTACTTGAAATAAAATATGCTTTAACTGGATAAAAAAAACTACGTATTTTATATGAGCTAGTTGTCAAGGCAACATTTCTCATAATAAAAATAAAAACTATGTAGACATTAAAAATAAAACAAAATAACTGAAATTAAATTAATATAAAAACGAATTCAAAATATGAATAAACTATAGCATCTCAAAGATCCTAAAACCACACTGATTCTGACACAGAACTAGATTAAAACTCCTAAATGATCATTTTTATGATGACCGTACAACACCTACTGAATGTTTTAATTCACTCAAAACCATCATTCTATCACTTCTTCCCATTCATGTCGTTCAAAACTAACTTTCTTTTGTGGAACCTAAAAGAAGATATTTTGAAGAATGTTGGGATCCAAACAACTCTGAACCCCATTGACTCACTGTATGAACAACAACAAAAGATTTGTGTTTTTTGGGTGAACTATCCCTGCTAAGCACTTGTTTTGAACATACTGTACTACTATTTAAAAGCAGTACGCAGTATGCACTGGAGTTTCAGAACACAGCCGGTATTTGTGCTTGAAAAGGAGGACACAAAGTGGGAACAGAAGCTGCAGTCGGAGGTCAGGATGAACTAAAAACACAGATGTGTGTGCAAATGTGAACAGCACTTACGTTCACTCACAATGACAGAGAGATTCTGCGTGTTTAACACAACGAAAGAGCCGCTAGAGTCTCGAAACGTCCTGTTCTGACTGATCATGGAAGATGTTTCTGCAGGAGATTTCACATTCTACAAATATTTAGAGCGGTTTAACTCTTCCATCACCAGTGCTGGTGCTGCTAGTGACTTTACTCGGTGCTCAGAAGCACCAATCCAATGCACGTTTATTTGCATAGCACTTTTCACGATGCAAATCATTGCAAAGCAGCTTTACAGAAAATTAAAGCGTCTATATTATATGTAGTAGTAGCTCATCAGTGGAGACTATCTGAAGATGATGTCCAAATGGCGGAACTGTACACGCAGTTAATGACACGTAATGCAAAATTTGGCAGCTTTTTTATATTCTGAAGGTTTGCTCAGATGTCTCTGATTTATACAACATTTTATTCCTAAAAACATGGTGAAAACGTGTTGGTGTCTTGTCTATTTTTATTGTGTGGCAGAAAACAAAGGTTCAAACGTGGCTCAGCCAATCAGAACCAAGGACCGGAACTCTCCGTTT